GTACAGTGTGCCCTGGCCTCACTGGAGTCTCAGAGGTCCTGCAGACTGTGTGTGTGAACTGCTGACCTGAAAGTGAAGCTTTCTGTCTTGTGACCAGTCCCTTCATCACTGCAGGTAATGATTGACTTTTTCAGTGCCTAGAAAATTGCACCTACACTTTATAAAGCTTTCAGTTCCATCATAATTGTATTCTTAATAGGCTGCTAGAGTTAAAACTTCAAAAACTCTCATTATTTTAACGACACGGGGCTCTTGCTGTCCTCTGAACCATACCTGAATTTAATTAAACAATCAAGGTAAGAAATATTTAAGTGACCGAGGGCTGAGCAAGCCAGCATCCGACAATCAGTTGCGATGTGGGCAGTGGCGGCACCGGCAGGCGCAGGGGATGAATTTGACCAAATTAAATTTGATACATTCAAAACTAGGCTCTCAGTCTTCATGTCAGCAAGTATCAGCGTTTGCTTTTATTTTTTTCTTAATCGTCAACTATTCATATTTCCTCTCATCCCTAGAGCTGGGTCTGGATGACAAAACAATTTCTTCTAAATAAGAGAAAAGTGTTTTTACTTTCAAGTGGGAACATAAATGGGAGGAAGGAAAGGAGCTTGAGATCTGGATGAAGGAGGGTCCTGCCCTCATAGAATTAACCAGAAAGTCTTAAACTGCTTCTTGTGATGCTGATGTTTAGAGAACGTTGTGCAAGAACTGGAGGGACTGGGACCTCTAAACATTTGACGTCGCCAATGAAATAGCTTCTGATCGTATTGAGGAAACAGGAAATGTATGTAAGAGATGTGCAAATTACTAATCATTCTATATAAAATAGATCAACAACAAGTTTCTACTGCAGAGCACAGGGAACTATATTCAATATCCCATAATAACCTACAGTGAAAAAGAACATGAAAATGAATTTCTGTATGTGCATGCGTGACTGAAACATTGTGCTTGCACCAGAAACTGACACACGTTGTAAACTGACTATACTTCAGTAAAAGCAAAAAAGGCACGTGCTAACTGCCAGAACAAGGGATCGTAATGGCAGTGATAACGTTGACAAAGTAAGGGTGACACCTGCTCTTTGTGGGGCAAGTTCACATGGCGCTCAAAGCGTGGAAACCCATGGGGACAACCTCTTCTCCTCCCCCCACTAGCCTGGCGGGTAGACGGAGCCGAGTGTCGAGCAGCGCGCGGGGTGGGCGCCGGGAGGCCGGGGCGAGCAGGCGGCCGGAGAAGGGGGCGTGATTCTGGCACGTGTTTTCTGCGGCTCCTGCGTAATGAGAGGGCGGACTCGGGAACCACACCCCGCGCATCTCTAGTCGAAAACGAAAACGAGCACATCTAGTCAGTTCGGTTATTTAGTAACGACTGTTCCTCAGAGGAGGAACTGTCTGATGCTCGGATCAAACAGCACACCTTAATCTTGTCCTTGGCAACAAGCACCAAGCAGAGTCATTCTGTGCCTTATGAATGAAGAAGTCATTTTACGTAAGTCTTTATGAAACATCCTGTTGTACAGATGAATTTTACTTCTTTTTTTTTACATTCAGAGGGCATTATTCAGGGTGGAGGAGAGCTTCTCTGAGCCTTTCAGACATAGGCTTCCTAACTTTTAACTCAAAGATTCAGTTAATGTCCAGCCGGCTTCTTCTGCTAAGTTCTGTTGTTTTCATCTCAAGACATCTTGTGGTTTCTACTGGGGAATCTGACCTAAACAATAGAAATTGCTAAGGACCAGTGGTTGGATGTGTGTTGGAAAAGGGAGAAGAGAGACTGAACCAGAAGCAAGGATGTGTGTCTCCTTTAGTGTGCAGGGCAGAGCCAGGACTGGTGCAGGGTGAGCTTCCTGCTTGTGTTACATCCCTTGTAACAGCACGTGTGGTTTCCTAGATGCAGGTGTTGAAGAATTGGTACCCACATAGTGAGGACTCAATGACATATTTTGGAGATCATGTCATTTGGGCGTGAGTCCGTTTCAAAAACTCTCATTTGTTAAGGGAAGTCACGCCATTTGATGGGTAGGGCCCCTGGCTCGGATTCCAGATACACTGAGGTTTTCCCACAGTGTGACAGTGAAGAGGGTGCATTGCCTCATCTTTCTGTGAGTTTCTATCTGCAAAACCAGGAGAGCCTGTGAGAGCCTCCACAGGTGTGTGCAGGTGTCACTTCAGTGTATTATTTGAGCTGAGCATTCCTTCTGCATAAAATAGGCTTAAATACTTAATTGGCATGATCACAACAGACCATCAGGACGATATGAAACCTACTGTGCTTAGAGATACCCATGATCCATCACTTTGTCTTCCATCTGTTCCCCTAACTACTGACCTAATCACCAGACACAATTTGCATTCTGCCAGCCTAGCATTGTGTAGGATTCTATAAGAAGATAGCGATCCATGCCCTCCAAACGTCTAAAGAAAGATAAAATAGACACGGCACAGAAGGGATCAAGCAGTGAGGGCTGTGGGTATTGGAGGAGACACAAGGATAATCAGGGAGATCTTCCTGGAAGAAGCAGCATTGGCATGCTAATACCATTTGGCACAAGGATACTTGGCTGGTGATGTCAGGTGCCCTTTCAAGCATTTGATGCTCATGAGTATGCCTCACCGATTTGTGCCTGTGTTCTGTCATCCGCCTGAGCCCCTCTAGCTGGGTCAGGGAGGTGCTGGGTGATTTTAAAGATTTGTAGAATATCCAGGCAAGCGGCTCCTTAAAGATCACCTGGTCTGTTGCTCATCAGGCTGCCCTCCGAGAGAGCCCCAGCAGGCCGGAGGGTTATTTCTTACCAATTTTATTTACTGTCATTTCTCTTAAGATTTTTGTTTGTTTTTGTGTCCAAAAAGTATTTGAAACACATTGACCTTTGACTGAATGACCCCCACACTCCCCACCACACACACAGAACATATGTATCCAAGTGATTTCTGCCATTTGATGTTGAGAGATTTAAATCACAGAAAAAGATAGATATTTTGGATTTTCCTTTTTGACATGCATGGTGCCAGGTATTCCGAACAGTTTAAGAGGAAGGTTTTATTGTCCCATATTATAGGTGAGGAAACTGAGTTGCAGGGGCTTGAGAAATTTGCCCCGAATCACACCACTTGAAATGACAGAGACAAGACCCCAGCAGAGGTCCCCCCACCTCCACACCCATGTTTTTCCAGGTCATCTGCCCTGCCCTGGCCCCATGAGTCCCCCGTCAGCTTCCGGCCTCTCAAGGGGGTGAGTTTGCTTCTTGGAAAGCCTGCCTCAGGGCTCTAGACAAGTAGGTCCTACACGTGGTACTATTCTCATGACCAGGGTGTGACTCAGCATCCAGATGACTTTGGTCCATGGTTACTTTGAAGGGTTTCTCATTTCTTTAACCACTGCTGTCTGATCAGCCTGAAAGGTTTGATGCAAGCTCTGAAAATCCTTGGCTGTTCATCACTGAAGGTGCTTCATTAGTAGTGAAGAAATGCTTGTTGATGTGATTGAATAACATGAGAAAATTCTATAGAAGACATTAAAAGCACCTGATGTTGGATGTAATTCTCAAGTCCAGTATAATCTGAAATTATGTTTACACTTTGGGTATTTGAGTTGGTGTCATTGCTGAAAGGTTGTTTTTTATTCATTCAACAAACATCAGTGGAGTACCTGCTATGGGTGAGTGAATCCACTGGCGCTGGGGCTCTGAGCCTCTGTTCTCTAGAAATGGATAAGCTAGTAGGTAAGAGAAAAAAATCTATTTATTGTTTTAACATTTGGGGTGACAACTGTTTTGAATAAAGTGCTGTGGTTCATGGAAGCAAAAAAATGTCTGGAATGTATAACTTCAATGGTAATTTTATTTCTGGGTTGCCAAATACCAACGTTATCTTAAAAATGTGTCCAAGTCATTCTTCCATGACTTTGTTAATGTTAATATCAAATGTGGTCACTGTGTGATCCGTTCATGCCACTGTGCAGGCACCCACCACAGTACAGCATGTGGGCTTTGCACGGCTTACAAACACAGCTTGAGGCGCAGTAGTGCAGAGGTTTGGGTGGGCATCAGAATCACTATATTGTGTTAGAATGCTTCCCCAGTGCTGGAGCCTAACTCCCAACTTACTAAATAAAAAATCTACCCAGGTGGGCTTTGGGGAGCCACATGCGTGCTGCCTTTTCTCAGATATCCTGATACTCAGCAAAGCCTGAGAATCAATGGTAGAAAGAATCACTGAAAATACCTTCCATGAAAATGTTTAAGACCAAGACATCCCCAGACCTGGGAAGCTGTGGCTTTGAATCCCCTAGAAATGTAGGCAGAAGTGGTAGCAGGTGTATCCAGGGCACTTGCTGGACCACAACGTGTCTTCCTTATATCCAGAGCGAGGAGCAGCCGGGGGAGGGGGATTTGGAATCTCGTTTTGATGGCTCTCTCCCGGAGGCAGCCTCCACGTGGTTACAGTCTGAATCGTCTCCCTTGACAGGGCATCTTTCCTCTGCCAGATGGGTGCCCTGGCTTACACGGATTGCGTTTCATAGGACTTCAGAGAAATGGGGGAAGGCCGAAATGGCTCCAGCTATGTCACCCTTGGTACTGAGCAGGGGTTTTGCAGAAATTTGACAGTGTTCATGGCCAGATTTCCTTGGCTTCCGGTTACACTGTTGCTTGGGTCCGCCTGGGCTCTGATGTCAGAGGATGGGGTTCCAGTCCCGACTCTGAGACCCTGGATGAGCCTGTCTCCAGCCCTCAGTCTTGCTGTCCTTGTGTTAAGTCTACCTTGTAGGCTTGCAGTGAGGTTTAAGTTAGAGAACAGAGGTAATGTGCTTAGTACCCTATCTGAAAAATAGTGCTCACGAGTGGGGACTGATACTTCTACTGACAGTATTGAACAGCTCAAAAAAAACAAAAAACCAAAAAAACAGTGAAGTTCCCACCCTCCTTGCCGCAAGTGTGGATTCCTCGGCCGCCTTGTGGAGCCCACTTCCCCCGTGTTGGGGTCTTCTATCCCCGCGGCCTTCCCTCCACTCATCACCGCGTTCTCGGAGGCAGAAAGTCCCCAGACCCAGTGAGCACCTGTCCTCTGCTCTCCCCCTCTCCTGCGTCTCCCCTTCCCTCTGCATCCCACCCAGTGGGAACTGCTCTCTGGGGATCCATACAGTGGTTGGGTGGGTACCAGACATTCATGGCCAGCAATGGCTTGACTGTCCAAGAACATATCTGCTCTAATGGGAAGTCTTCGGGGTCTTGGCGCTCCCAGGTCCCCCAGGCTCTCCTCCCAAGGCAGCAAGCTGTGCTCCTCTGAAGTGGCTGACGGTGGCAGTGGGAGGGCTCCTACAGGTCTGGCTTCCGGAAGGTGAGGAGAAGCGACTCCGCGGGGAGAGGTGGCAGCTCGGCCAGCGGGCCTCCCGCAGCTGCAGGGCTGCGCTTCTCCGGTGGGCAGCC